TGGTCAATTTCCGGCCTTGCATTATCTGTTCTGTCCTTCGTCTGAAAGTAAAAATTGCATGATTTTTGTCCATCATCTACCCGGACGATATAGGGCATGAATGCTTCCCAAATAATCCAAACCGTCTCTCTCGAACCCGTGGGCCTTTGCTTTCCAAATAATCCAAACACTCTCTCTAACCCGTAGGCCTTTGCTTTCCAAATAATCCAAACACTCTCTCTAACCCGTGGGGCTTCAGCAGCCTGTAATTTTGTCCCTAGAGAGAAAAAATCAAAATAAAATCCCTCGTGCTGGTTTATAGAGAGAAAAAGAGCAACAAAATCTAGGGGCGCAACGGGTCAGGTCCAGGACCCAGACCTGTAAATGATATGGAACCTGGACCTAGACCTAGATCCAGAGACGACCTGACCCAAATTTATTGGACTCGGACCCAGATCTGGATGCAATTGGATTCGATTGGACCTACCTAAAAACTACAATATTTATTTATCTAATTATATTTAAATATACTTCATGTATTGGGAGTTGAAAAGTATTATCTAGACCCGAACCCAGACCCAAATAGTACTCAAGTCCAAGATTTGAATCCAAATCCAGATCAGATCTACCCCTCATGTCACACGAAGTCGGGTCGGGTCGGGTCCATGTCACTCCTAACAAAATCAAAACTTAGTGCCTTCTAGAAGGTTTGGTGAAAGGTGTAGTGGGAATCTGTCACAAGAAGCGTATAAATATTGTGAGTACGTCACCTCCACCCCTCAAACATTCCCTTCCCTCTCTCTCTCTCTCTCTCTCTTCTCTCTTTCTAGAAGCTCTCTTGTGAGTGACTTCACATCCTACCTTTGTTGGCACGTGCCAGTCAGACTGCAAGCAACGACCTTCTAGATTGCTCAAGCTCGTGGTCTCTCTCTCATAGACCATGAAAGACGAGCACCACTATTTTTTCTATTTTTTTGTTGTGAGTTCGTTGTCCTTGCCTTATGACAATTATGTTTTTTTTTTTTTTTTTTTGAGAGAAAAAGCCATGCCTGTCATAACCCCCTGGTTTGGGTCAGAATAGAAAAAACATAACAAAAAGATATAAAAATAAGAGCTAGGACAGGCCAAAGCTCTAGGGCCACGGTGGCTCGGTCCTCAAGCCACATTGTGTGGCTCAAGCTCTGATTTTTTAGAGCCAAGCCTGTTGCGACTTCTATTCAATATGAAAGAGAGAGACATAGAGGCATGGGGTTGGAGCATTAGTGGTTAGGCGGCAGGTGCCTCAATATAACGCCTTAAGCTGTGTTTTCACCATCTGGGACCAATTCATTGTTGGGTTTTTTTGTATTTTCGTATTTTTCACTTGGTGATTTTTGAGGGGCAAAATCCACAAGCGGACTCGAGAATCAGCAATTTGACTTGAATCGTCGTGTGCCTTTCGACACTCAGTTTTGTTTTTCTAAAAGTACTTGTCAAAAATATGAGATTGTCTACAAAGAGATCATTTATCTTTTGTATATAAAAGTCATAATCACTCTCACTCATTAGATGTCAAATTCGATGGTTTGAGATGAGTCACGAAGTTTAAAAAAAAATTTTAAAAAAAATTATATCTATTCAATGACACTCTTACAACCATCAATTTTAAAATTTAAAAAACAAAAATAATCGTGACATCTACAAGTAAAAGATGAATGGTCCCTTTAAAAAAAAGCTAGAGAGAGATTATGTTGGGTGGAGGGTTGAGTCGTTTAACGAAAAATGAGAGCAGATGATGTTTATACGTGGACCATTGGATGGTCGAATAGGGGGAGAAGTAGAACGCCGACTGGATTGCGCCATAGGCTTGTATTAAGGTTGCGTTCTTCCGAAAAAATGCTGCTTTCAATAAATACGTGGCCTTTTGTCCCTTTTTGCTTAAAGAGAAAGCGAGAGAGATTGGTGTTCAGGACTTGCACTTGTTTAAGGAAAACAATGAGAATACTGAGGTTTTCACTGCCTTTTTACTTGGCGGGGGAGGGGGAGAGGAAGAGTTGAGAGAAGCTTCTCCATTTTGATCGAAAAAGTATACTATTTATTTTTGATACAAAGTGGTCACAATAAATTTTGATCATTGGATGTGAAGTTTGATAGCTGCATTTATTTCATTAACCAAATTCAAAATTTAAAAAAAAATTTCTTGATACATCCAAACTATCATATTTCACCTGTTATGATTGTATGTATAGATTGAGATTGTATGTATCATATTTCACCTCTTATAATTGTGACCTTAGCCTCAATGTATACAATCCGAACATTTATCATGTAATTTATTTAAGTTCATTGGACTTCTTAGCATATCCCTAGAGAGAGAGGGGGGTTGAGGGTGCATCTTAGGCCTTTCTAATTTTTAACGGGAGTGTAATAAGGTTCTTTTCATAGAACATGGAGTTCTAAATCATTTTATGAGAGAGAGAGAAAGAGAGAGAGAGAGAGAGAGAGGGAGGGGTTAGAGGTTTGTGCTCGGCTTCAAATTTTTTAAGGTTCTTTTTCACTAAAACTCCATTCCTTCCCTTTTGTAGATAGAGCGAGAAACGTGGAGGTTTGTGGTAGCCCTTCTAGGTTTTAAATAAATTTTTTCAAGTATAATTAGGTTTTTAGTCTTTTTATTAAAGCATGGAGTTTTCAATCCTTTCCTTTAGGTGGAGAGATATAAAGGGAGATTTTGAGAAATTATCCTCATGTTATGATAAAATTGAATGTAATGGACACTAGTTATTCCAGTCTTCCCATCGTTATCAAATTAAATGGAACCGACAATCCAAGCGGTCGGACTGTCAACCGGTGCTTTGTCCAGACTGATTTAGAATAAATATAAAGATTAATAAAAGTCAATTAAAATTAATATTCGATTGATTTTTATTGTTCTGATTGATTGATTTCAACCAATTCGACCGATTTAACAAAATTGACAAATTTTTAAATATATTATATATTTTAAAAGAATAATGATACTATAAGACCATCTCATTTCTATGCGAACACGACTCCAAATGATCACCAATAAATTTTGATATAGATCTTTAAAAAAGTTATCAATAAACTCATTCAAGTCTTACACCCATTATACTATGAGACCCGCTATGAATAAGATCCCAAATAATTACTATCAAATTTCAACACAGATCTGAATAAGATCCCAGATAATTACTATCAAATTTCAACACAGATTTCTAAAAAAAAAAAAGTTGCCGATAAACTCCTTCCCCCATCTCCCCCGCTAAAAAACCCAACGCGCTATTTCGTTGAAGACAAGAAGGCATCCTTATCATTCTCGCTCTTAGCGGGTTTTTCGGTACATTACCCCCTTTCTAGAAGCCCTTTGAAAAACGGACCTTTCGCACGTAAGAGTCTACTCGTCAGACAGCTTCAAGAAGATGAATCGCATGCGAGATAAGACAAAACACGCGGATTTCTCACACCATGTGCTGTCTACTGCAACGCCCATAGTGTAGATGATTACATAAAATACCCTTACACGCATTAAAGGGCCAAATTCGTAAATTACAAGAATCTTTAATAAAATACCAATTTAATCGCTAGTTTTCCAAGAATATCCTTTGCACCCCTAAAACTTCTGGGTTAAGTCGTCCATCTGTACTAACAAACAATCGAGACAAAAATAGAGCTTGAGCTTCATTGGTTAGCGCTACAATGCAATGCCTACATCATAGGCTCAATTCCTACGGGGCTTTTACGACTCATTTGATGACCTTCCCCCCTGAACATTTTTTTTTCAATAATTTTAATTGTTATTACGATTCATTTGATGACTTTCGCTTTTGAAATCACATGACTATTTGATTTGCCGGACAAAAGCATGATAGCTGTTTTTTTGCGTATAACAGGATTATTAGTCACTCGTTGGATTTATTCAGAGCATTTACCGTTAAGTAATTTATATGAATCAATTTGCTCTAGAAAAACTTTTTATCATATAATCATGAGAAATTTGGACAAAATGCATCTAAGAAAGTGAACTACCCAACATGTACATGTAGGATTTTATTCTAGAAAGGTTACATGCTAATATTTTAAAAAACATTTGAACTATTTAACATTGTGGGTGGCTAGTTTAAGGTGTTAACATGAAACAATAAAAGCAAGACACACTTTCAAACCTCACCAAAAGATGAAATTCCAGTGTCAGGAACTCTTATTATAGCATAAAAATATATTTCCATCCTAATTATGAATTTTAAAGCCTAAAAAATAGTGCATAAAGAGCAGATCTATAAACCATTGAAGATCTTGAATATCGACAATTCATATAAGATAATGATTTACAAGATGTATTGTTTTTAAGACTTAAAATCTTTGTTTATCTTATCTACAATCTTATGGATGAGATTATCGAATGTAGGGTTTTTTAGTATCAAAAAAACCTTTTCTAGTAGTTTTTTAAGTGAGCCTTGGTTTTATAATATCAGGTTAACACACTACATAAGAGCTTTACTTTCAATAATGTACCCAATTTTAATTTAGAGTACACATGATCATGAGTTAGAATGGTTTAACATGAGTATGGTATTGAATAGTTAATAAGATAGCTTTATTTCAATAATTTCCAATGGTGATCAGGACCACTGCTATCTAATACATGGAACTTATCGTGGTGGAGAGCGAGGGATATACAATAGAGTGAAATATTTTAATGGTGGGACCTCATTCACTACTCATCACCGTCCAATCCATTGATTGGACGGGAATGACCACAGATAACCACCAATTCCCTATGGTCGTAAGGCTTAATACTACTCCTCCTGCATTTACGATAGTCAGTGGCATAAGAAGTCACTGTGCTCCAAAAGGACGATCGTGACGGCAATGACGCTTACGTTGCTTTTAGGGGCATTTTCGTCATAAACAAAAATTTAAGGTTACTTCTGTCATTTCCAGTAAAAGAGAAGGGTCCTTTGGTCATTTTCCACACTCGACCCCTTTAAAAGCTCCTCACAAGGCCTTGGCTCTTCACCTTTCAAAACTCAAGACCCTCTCTATCAATGTATGCTTCATCGCCAACAATTTTCGTCGGTGAACGGCTTTCCTTGACGGGAAATCGATTTCCGATCACCAGACTTAGCTTATCCAATGGATTTAGCTCTGGATTCCCGTCGGAAAACCGCTTGTCTGCCACGAATTTGCGCCGCAAAAGTGCTTTCTCGGTGTCGATCAAAGCCTTCGCCGAAACCACTTGTAGGAACGAAACCGCCGATCTCCAAGCCGAAAAACAGCGAAGCTTCTACGAAATCCTGTGTGTCAAGGAGACCGCCTCTCTGTCCGAGATCAAAACCGCTTACCGCACACTGGTAAAGCGGTTTCACCCTGACGCGGTTTCAGCAGGATCCAACGGCAGAGATTTTATCAAGATTCGTGATGCCTATTCTACGCTGTCCGATCCTAAGGAGAGAGCGGTTTATGACCTTTCGATTGGTGTCGGTAAACCGCCTATGAAAAACGGCTATGGCAGTCTAAGGGGGTTTCGGACGACGAAGTGGGAGACGGATCAGTGCTGGTGATGGACGGCCGGCATTTGGTTGTTGACGTAACGAGGATGGAATCCTCCGTCCACCTGTGACGTTTCTGTTGAGCTTTTTACTGACCTGGCAGAGGCGGCTTCTCATAGGGCGGACTTTTATTGTAAATAAGAAAAATGTAATTATTTATTCTCCTCACTCTAGAGGGAAAATGACGAAAAGAATCCCAGTCTTTACTGGCATTGACAGGATACAGCTTCCTTTTGTTTTTTCTCTTTACTGTTATGATATTTTTTTTTTGAACGGAATACGACATCGATAAATGGTTTTTAAGACATTCTTTTACTTTTATGAGTGTTTTTGTTGCATTACTTTCCTTCCTTCATTTTAGAGAGAAATAAACTGATTTTTTTTTCAATGAAAAAGTTATAACACTCGAAAAATCGGGTATTACTTTTCTCAATATTTACCCCTCCAATTTCTGTCTGGAAAGAGGGACCAAATTGAAAGGAAAAACAGTCTGTTATGTTTGCAATGGGCTGTAGAGATAGAAGCAAATTCTAGAGTGAGAAACAGAGAGGAATGTAGCACTGGAAGTTTCGGAGGAGTTTCCAAGCTTATTTAACTCAGCCACCTGAGCTACGAATAGAAACAAATCTCTCTCTCTCTCTCCCCCTCGCTAAGAATAGAGTGAAGAACTCTTAGCAACGGAGCAGACCAGACCCAGGATCCGACGAGTAGTCTCGACTTTGGGTTCGGGTATGGGTTTAAATCTTGGATCTAGAAGGTCGGTTTTGGGTCCAAAACCTGGATATTCAAGATCGGGTCTATGTTCAGCCGGACTTGACCTATACCCGATCCAAATGATATGGATATATGTTGTGCGGTAGGCATAAATGTTGCCAACGATTATGGTAGTAGGAATTTCAAGTAAAGAATGTGGGTCATAATGTATAGGGAAAGCTTTCTATGTCCCTTTACAATATAGAAGTTCGATGTTACCTTTATCCAATCGTTTATTTTTTAATGGAGGGCTAAGATTGTCTCAATCATAATGTTATTTTTTTACACTTTTTTATTTTTAATTTTTTTCTTATAAACTGTTTTGACACTAAATTTTGTATATCTATTCCTCTATTAAACTTACACTAACGAAAAATATTAAAAAAAAAATATTTTCTATAGAATAAAATGACCAAAATACCCTTAAAAATTTCAAGGGGTTTTGGTCATTGTTTTGTATCGAAAAGTTATTGTCATATTTTATATAGGTGTGCCCAATGAGTAGATGACACGTATTAAATTTCATATTCAAAAAAATTATATTAAAAAAAACTAAAAAAAAAATACTTTGAGACGTCAGATCTAAGATCAAACAGTGAGTAACTCTCTTGATAAAAATTGGACAGCTGTATGGTAGGCGAACATAGAACTTCTATGTTGTGGGGGGAACATAGAAAGCTTTTCCTAATATGCATATGATGGTTAAAAAAAAAAGGTGCCGGTTTTTATAAGGTTGCAACCTCAAACCATCCAATTAAGGAGCACCTTAAAATTTTATCAAGTAATTTTGTTGTAAAAGAATCTCAGTATTATCTTAACTAATTAGAAATTTTAAATTTAAAAAATGGTTAAAATCAAATAGATCTATAAGTATATAAACATCTTGAAAATAGTGTTGCAAGATATACTATTTATGAGACTCAAAAACTTTTTTTTTCATATTCATACAACTCGATTCCGAGATGATTGATTTGAGGGTTTTTTCAACATTAAAACAACATTTCTGGTAGATTTTTGAGGTGCCTGATTCTACTTTTTAATGTTGCCACCTTATATAAACTTTTCCCTAAAAAAAATAGAAAAAGTATATATAAGGTTGCAACCTTAAAATGTGGAAATAAAGATGCACCTCAAAAATCCATCGAAAAAGGTTGTTTTAATATTGAAAAACCCAATCATCTCGATATTGAGATGTATGCATATGAAAAAAAAATAAAAAAAGGTTTTGAGTTTAAGAAAAAGTGCATCATGCAACACATTATCTAGATCGTTCATTTTCAAGATTTTCATATGTTTATAGATTTACTTAATTTTAACTATTTTTTAAATTTAAAATTTTATAATTAGATATAAAAATAGATTTTCAGATGATCCTAATAATTTTTTACACTAAAATTACATGTTATGATAAAATTTGGAGGTGAGCCTTAATTGGATTGTTTAAAGTTGCAACCTTACAGAAACCACACCCAAAAAAAGTTAGCTCATAGTCATAAGGTATCAATGAACCGGGACCCAACAGGTATACCCAATACCCGACTGGTCCAGATATGTATCTAAATTTTGGACTCCAAAGGTCGGGTCCAGGTCCAAAATTTTAGATCCAGTGTATCCGACCCCTAGGATCCAAAGCACCTTTCTAGGAGATCTCTCTCTCTCTATTAGTTTGCTTTAAATTCACTCTCACACTCTCGATTCTCGAATTCGCTTTGAACTCTCGCTCACAATACTTCGATTCAAGAAATGATCTCTATATAAATGAATTTATTTGTTTGGATAGATTGAAAGAACCACCAAATTACGAGAAAAATCTCTCCCCTCTCTTTCTCATGATTCACTTTTTGGTCTCACTGTGTTTCACATCAATAAATGAATTTATTTATGGGAAGGTGTTTTGTCTACTATAGCATCTTCTCAAGGATGGGTGTAAGAAAGAAAGCGGTGGTCCCACCAAAAAACAAAACCAACCATCTATAACTATTTTTCAAGGAATATTATTTTTAATTTTAATAAATTATTATAATTTACATATTAATGACCCTCATGTCGGAGATTATTTGTCTAAAACAATAATAGGACTAAAAATTGAATCGTAAAGGGAGGGCGCATGTATACATGAGTCACGGGACTCATAAAAACCACAACCTTGATCATAAGAACCTCTATTTCTCTCTCTCTCTCTCTCTCTCTCTCTCTCTCTCTCTCTATTTGCCATAAACCCTCCCTTACCAGGCTTCCACTTCAAGAAATAAAGTTCTTATGTCGAGCAACCGGAAGAAACTTTAGGGCACGTTTGTTTCTCATGAAAATATTTTGGAATAATAGTTTTACGTGAAAAGATGCACTAGAAATCAAAGACCAATTGGTGTGAAAAGATGACCTAGAAATCAAAGACCAATTAATGTGAAAATATTTCACATGAAGGAACTTTTTCACGTGAATATATTTTTCAATTATTTTCACACGAAACTGTTATGTTTTAAAATAACATTCATAAGAAAAAGCAGAGGAAAAAAAAAACCTCTAAAACTTGGTGCAATTCTCTTACTCTCTCTCTCTCTCTCAAAATTGAAAAAAGTTCATATAAGGATACAATCTTATAATGTAAAACTCAAGAATCCATCGAAAAAGGTCATTTTAATGTTGAAAAACCCTTTGATTGATCATCTCGACATAGAGATGTATGACCGTAAAAAATAAAAAGTTATCAAGTCTTTACAAAATATTATCTACACCATCCATTTTCAAGATTTTCATATGTTTACATATTTACTTGATGTTAACCATTTTGGAAATTTAAAATTTTATAAATAAAAATAGATTTTGAAATAATCCTAATAACATTTTACATCAAAATTTATCATAAAATTTGAAAGTGCACCTGACCTCTACAGCTAGAGATGCATCCGCATGCCAACTGCACCCCCGAAAATTTGGCGGGGTAAAAACATCGACACAACCTCCAAATCACCGTTGAAGTCTCCCCCCTCCAAATTACAGACATACAGGTCTAAATGAATAAAGAAGACAAATGCTAACAAAACATCACGCACAATTATAAAAGGAAAAAAGGAAAGGGAAAAATATGGATTTGCAGAACTGAAGAATTTCTGGATGGCATACACACTTGTTCTTCGTGTCTTTTACAATACCCCTTGCAATGCATATCCAGTCTTTTCAGCACTAACAAAAGATTGAGAGAGCGAGAGAGAGTGAGAGAAACCAAAAAGAGAAAACAACTACAAAAACACTTTTTCGGATCCCCTAATGTACATACTCACTAATAACTCTCCCTACCAACAATTTACATGACAATCAATCCCATCCATTTATATATCAATCCATCCATGTATATGCATTCCTCCATGTATGTAATTATCCATCCATGTATGTACGAGACGAGTGAGAAACACCACCACCATCATTTGCAGGTTGACAAAAGGGAATTGATGATGTGCATGACAACACGCAAGTTGCTACTGTCGGACGAGCTCGTAGCGAGAGACATGTGGTGCATAAGCATTTGGTAAACTTGCTCGAGGATACCACGCACATGAGCGTTGATGATGGGGTCCGTAGGGTTTAGAACCAAAGCAGCCTCTCTAATCCATGTCAATTTTCGCGGTGAATCAGGTCCAAGATCATATGTTAACCGCTGAACGAGAGCCAAGATAATCCCTTGGCTTAAGGGTAATGGCACAGTTGAGAGTAAGGCTGGCAAATCGACCTGCAAAAGGAGGGGAAAAAAACCACAACTTCAGTTTCCAAACTTATTTTATTTTATTTAACTTTTATTTCTATTTTGTGAATTGAGGTTGGAAAAATATGCTATGATGTGCAGAGCCATAGAATGTCCAGGGGATCGCAAATGTCGATCGCCACCCCGTCAATAAATGGATGGTGATGGGAGAGATGGTGGGACCTACTACTTGATGTGAAACACAGCGAGACACAAAAACAGAGGTTGAAGTATAATTACCTGTGAGCACAACCAGGAAATCAGAGCAATGTCATTTCTTTGAAGAGCCTTGGTGAATGCTTCGTCGAATTTGTGTTCTGCTATAAGTCTTGATAGCTCCTTTGTTGGGTCTACTGGAGCCTCCTGTTAAAAAAAAAGCATCTCCTCCAAGTCAGCAAATTCATTACTATACACTCAAATAAACAGGTCAATGTGAGGATTGTCAAAATTCAATATATTTCATGATTATTTTACTTTTCAAAATCATGAACGAGGTTAAGAACCCAAAAGGAAAAGACAAGTACAATGGCAAAATGAAAAACAAGCTTAAGAAAACACAAAGAAAGCAAGTATGCCTAGTTATGCTGATTTGGAATGGATGAGAAACATTACCATCTCATGGAAAGCAGCAAGAGAACCATTGCTTTGCTGCTTAGCCAATGGGTTCCCCAAATTTTGGTTTGCTGCAAGAGCCAAAATTTTGCGTTGACCATCTGCTAATTCGGCAGACAATGTCTGAGTGATTGACGAGGCAGAAGCAACAGAATCCTGCACAAGCACAAAGCCCAGGAAAAAGCACGTTATATTGTCATCATGTCAGAATGGAGGGGCCCTCTCTCTCTCTCTACAGGCATGTGGACACATGCTGCCCATGCGAGTTCAAGCATGAATCAGTGTTTATCTATAGTCACTGTGAAAAACATAAATGATACATGTGGGAGAAGGATTCAACCTTAAAGTTTGTCCCCTAAATAAACTAACATACGTTTTTACATTTTATACTATGTCAATCAAAACACTTGCAAAGAATTAAACTTCTCTCCATATTAGGAATTAGGACAAACAAAGTATCACCTAAAAAAAAATTTCTACCCAAAAATGAAAAAGTGAACCACTCACTACACACACGCACACATAAATATATGCACTGTTTGCAGAAAGTTCATTCATCCATGCATGCATGCATATAACTTTACAAAAATACATACCCGCAATGTCATGGCCAAAGAAGAATGTGTTGATTCAAATTGCTGCAGAGCAGCAGTAGTGTGCTCTGTCATTCCCTTCAGGAATGCAGTATCAATTTGCTCAAACATGGCCCTGCACGATGCCTCAAATGCAGGTATCATTGAAGACTCCATGCTCGACCTCAATGCATCCTGAAAATATAAAGGTTCAGGTATCAAAAGGCTCAGGAACTAAAACAATTAGTTCAACTGTAAAGGAGCAGAGGCGACATATTCCTTTAGTACAAATAAATAAAGGAACACCCATGGAATGTAACCTATCTCCAAAAATAATGCCAAAATTTCAATAACCATTACAGAGCTTTGAAGAAACTTGTGCTAACATCAAACCATGCCATCATCTTTACAAAGAAACAAACTTATTACCCTTGCAGGTACTCTCGCTCTCCCTCCCTCCCTCCCTCCCTCTCTCTCTGTGAAAAACTAAACTGATTACCCTTGCAGGTACTCTCTCCCTCGCTCTCTCTCTCTCTGTGAAAAAGTAAACCGATTAACTGATTACTCTTGCAGGTACTCTCTCTCTCTCTC